CTGTGTTTGTGTCAGGCAATATTCACACACACACACACACACACACACACAACCAGAGGTGAGAGGCTGGATCTGTGTTTGTGTCAGGCAATATTCACACATATAAACACACTCACACTCACACTCACACTCACAGGTGGGAGCCTGGAGCACAGAAAGCCCCAGCTCTGCCTCCTTCCCCTGCCCTGCCCTGCAGTGACCCCACGGGCTGAGCGCTGGCCCAGCACAGCCCACACCTGTTTGTGCTGCTGCCTCTGCCTTGGCTCCGGAGCTGTGGGGGCCTGGCAGGGACTGCTCCAAACCACACAGGGAAAAACCATCTGGGTTTGGAACAGCTCCCTCCTGCAGGTTCAGTAACCAGCATCCAACCAAGCCAGCTCCCCTCTGCTGGATCCCTCTCTGGGCACAGCAGGCTCCAACCAGAGGGATGTGAAGGCAGCTGGGACATGGCACAGGACACCTGCAAAGGGCAGATGTCACCCCAAACGTGCAGGCAGAGCTGTTTATTGCTTCCTCCATCGCCCACTGCCACGAGGGGAAGCCAAAACAGGCAGGCAGCGAGGGAATGAGCTGGGTTATTCCCAAAGGAGAGCTGCCAGGTCAGCATTTCCCACGGGAAACACGGCCAGATGTGGCCAGCTGTGCCCCCAGACCCATCCCAGACCTTCTGGGGCTCCAGAGAGGGAGGTGAAAGGAGGACTGAAGGAGGTGAAAAAGCACTGCTGGCACAATGGGCTCAGCTGGAGCTGCTCCTGCTGGATAATCTGAGGCAGAACAACCACTCCTGGGTTTTTCAGTGGCACAAACTGAGGCAAACAAAAAGAAGGGATTTGTCCAAGGCCATGGAGCTCAGGAGAGGGGGACTGAGCCCACAGCACTCCCTGTGTTCCCTGGGCTGAGCTGCCTCTCGCAGATGGCCTTGTAACTAAGCAAACTGAGTGGGACTGAGCTCTGGATTTGTTTTCCAGACTTGTCACACATTACTCATGTGATCTCGAGAAAAGTCACTTCATCTCTCTGTGGCCAAGTTCACAGTCTATGTATCCTCCAGTCACTTACCCAAATCTGCATCTGTGCTTTTCTTCATATCCTTCTGAAGTTTTTTGGTCTGATCTTCCAATCTGAAAGATGGGAGAAAGAAGGCAAAGTCGGAATCTTGGAAAGAAAGAAACCCAAGTGTATCATACGTGCAACAAATCATTTACGGGCTGAATATGCTGGCTTCTGGTGGGAGTTAAAAATATCCAGGCAAGGCTTGATGAAGTTCAGAGCAGCTCAACCCTTTCGGGTTGTTTTCAGATGGTTTTTAACCTTTTCAAGTTGGTGATCTCTTATTCATAGTTCGCATATTTCCTGAAAGTTCTCACACTTAGCACAAATGGTAAAGCCAAATGCTTCCAGATGATCCCTGTGAGCTCCTGTGACACAGGCAGGATGGCAAAGCCACTCCTGGTCCTCTGAGCTGTTGGCCTCTACAGGGACCCCACAGTTTTCTGGCAATTTTACACTTTTTCTTTTTTTTTTAAGCTGCCAGAATCTGCAAATACTTCTGAGGACACCTTTGAACAGTCAGAGAAACCCTGAAGAATTGGAAATTACAGGGCAGTGAGGGATTTGCTCACTGGGAAGAGCATCCCTGGCTAAAATTCCCTGGGAAGATGCAATGGGAGGAGGGAAGCATGTGGCCAGTCCTGTCTGACCAGTGTGGTTGATACTCACTGCTGCAGCTTCCCATATTCCCTCTCAAAGTCTCTCTCCACCTGTGGAAAGAAGAGATGGAAATCAGCTCCAGGGGACTGCAGGGCAGCCTGGAGCACGCAGGGAAAGCTGTCCCTGGGAAATGCTGAGCTGAGCCCAGCACGAGCTGCAGCTTTCATGGGAGTTACACCTCAAAAGTAAAGGAAGTCTTGGGGATTTGGAGCACCAGACTCTCTTGGAGCCTGCACCAAACATGTCAGCTCGAGCCAAGGACGTGCTCCAGGACAGGGATTGGGAGCTGATGGAATAAATGGGAATGCTAGAAAAGCAGGGAAGCCACAGCCCAGCATGGCTCAGTGCTGGGGGACAAACCTGTGCTCTCCCCCAAAAACTGAGGGGAGCTGCTGCTCCTCCAGCCCCGTTGAGGTGGGTCTGGCTGTTTCCTCCTTCCTCATCCTCATCAGGATGGTGAAATTCTCCCTCTGCATTACCCCCCACACACACTCCTTAGCCCTACAGCAGCTCCCTCCCATGAGATTCTTGGGCTGGAGCACAATCCCAGTGCACTGTGACACCTCCAAAAGGGAGGGGAACCCTGAGCTCCGAGCTCTGAGCTCCAGCACAGCCTTCTCCCGATGCTACCTCAGCGCCTGCTCCCTCCTACTTGCTAGCTGGCAGCAAACCTCCAGTGATAGGAGATATTTTAAGGAACTTTCTTTCCATGCTGACTGTTTTAACACACTTAAAACATTCATTCCACACCTCGTCAACCAGAGAAGCAAATGGATTTCAATTGACCAGCCAAGAGTAAATCCGTGCGCGTTTGTTGTCATGGGATCAGCGCTGGGTTCACTTGTGTTGTCAAGCTCCCGTGCTATTAAGGAAATGCAGAGTGCTGGGAGCAGCCAGGACTAGAAGGATCCAAAGGTTTGTTCCAATTCTTCCTGCGGGCCCTGAGATTTCAATCCCAGCAGCACCACAATTTAAAGGGGATGTTTGCTTTTCAAGGAGAATTGCTGTTAAAAGCTTGAGGGGGTTAAAGATGGAGATTTTCTTAAAATCTCCTCCTTTAAACATCTTTTTGGGCTGCACTTGAACTCCAGCAGCCTGATCTGAGGGCAGGCAGTGCCCAGCCACATTCCAGCCCCATCCCAGCTCCCAGCTGTCCTCACCATCCGCTCCCACCATCCGGGGGATGCGAGCTGGGCTCTCTCTCTCTCCCCCCTCCCATCCCTTTGCTCCAAAAAACCCTCCCAGGAGCTCCAGCTCCCTTTTCGTGCTGCTAAAATTGGGTGCTGGAGAGAACAGCCAGGGAGCAGTGTGGGGGCAGCTCACACGACTTGTGCCTGGCGTTCGGGGAGCGCAGAAATGCGCGGCAGCTGGCGCCCTGCAGGTCAGGTAACCAGCACATAGTAAAGCTCACCCTCCATCCCCGTGCCTGTTCCGGCTCCTAAAATCCTCCAGGGACAATTGCACTCTATAAATAGGCCTTAGGTGTGAATTGTTTTGGTTGCAAACCACACAGGGTCGGGCACGACTCGAAAATGTGCCCCCCTTTGAAAGGCTGGGGGTGTCGTTCCTTTATTGTTGCCTCTGTGTGGTTAGGAGGATCTGCTCAGCAACCAGCTCCTCCAAAAGCTTTGGCTGTGGAATACCTGTGAATATTCAGGGTTTCTGGCCCTTTTTTGCTGTCAGATTTGCCTGTTTCTGTGCAATAAGCAAAAGGCATTGTGCCTTAATGGATATGGAGCAGCTTGCAGGGCCTGAAGGGGCTCCAGGGGAGCTGGAGAGGGACTGGGGACAAGGATGGAGGGAGAGGACACAGGGAATGGCTTCAAACTGGGACAAGTGAGATTGGGGTGGGATTTTTGGAAGGGGCTGGGATGGAATTCCTAGAGAAGCTGCGGCTGCTCCATCCCTGGAAGTGCCCAAGGCCAGCTTGGAGCACCCTGGCACAGTGGAAGGGGTCCCTGCACATGGCAGGGGGTGGAACAAGATGAGTTTAACGCTCCCTTCCCACCCCAACCATTCTGGGACTTTAGGATTCATTCCACAGAGACAAAACCTCCCCACCCTGCGACTCTCGGGGTGCTGTGAACCCCCCAAACCTCCCGAGCTCCCCCAAGCCCCCACCCCAGTGCCGGAGCAGGATCCACATGGCATCGAGGTGACTCCACACAGACACACTTGAGCTGCCCAGCCTGACTCACATCCCCAGCCCCATCTCTCTGAGACAGCTGCCCAAGGATTGCTCTTATTTTTCACGCCCACAGGCAGCAACTGGCTCCCAGTCCCCACAGTCTGCGAGCTCAGGGAGGCTCCCAGCCGTGGCTGGAGCCCGGCTATCCCACAGAAACAGAGGGAAAAGCTGCTCTCACGTGCTCCCAGCTGCAAGGAGGACAAGCTGGGAACATTTTGCAGAGCACACAGTAATTCCCACTCCCAGCAGCTCTCCACGGTCACACGCAGCCGACAGAGGCTGCGGAGAGGATTATCACGTTAAGAGTAACGAGAACAAGAAGTACAGGCAAGAAAATTACAATATCCTGAAGGGAAGTTTCCGTATTATTAAAATAATCCCACTGCTCTGCAGCCTCTTTCTGAAAACTCCAAATCAAACCACACTTTCTGTATTGAAGGTTTTTTTTTTTTTCTTCTTCCAGGCACAGGGGCTGGGTAATGCAAAAATCGCTCGTCTCGGGGTTTTTATTTAAATCTACATCAAGAGCGACGAGCTCTCGAAAGCTTTGAAATAAAACAACATTCTCTCCTTCACCCAGTTTTTTTTTTTTTTTTTTTTTTTTTTTTTTGTTTGCAAACACTGGGCCTCCCACCTGTGATCAGATCCCTCCTGCTTGAAGGGCAGCATCAGCATCACCAGCCTGGTTATGAGGCAATGGAGCAAGGCTGAAGCCAACACTACAAAGAGATGGAAATGAGGGACTGTGAGGAACCTTCCTATCCCCCTGGGGTTCATGTTTTTCCCTGGAGGAGGAAGATGAGCTGATTTCTGCATCTCCCAGCGGTCTCAGCATCGTTGTGGATCTTGGGGAAAAGAGGGAAGTGTTTCCTTCTTCCTCTTCTCCAAAAAAGTGAAACCCACAGAAATTAGAACCAAGATTTTCTGCTGAGCTCCTGCCATCCCATCAAGAATTTCAAGGTAAGTGCCATGGGTGAATATTCTGAGCCAGAGCTGCAGAGTGCAGGTGGATCTGGGATGTCACAGACTCCACCCAGCAAGACCTCCACATCCCCATCCTGCAAGAAACTTCCCAGAAAGGTGGCAAAAGGAAAAAGGAGACATCTCCCAAATGCAGAGACCAATTTGGCCAGAATAGATTGAAGGAAAACCAGCAAAACTATTTAAGTGGCATCACTTGAATTCACCCCACCATTCCCATGACATTCACTCCACTGTGTTGGGATTTCCAGCTCGCTGGTGGAGCCCAATGGAAAGGGCTGCAGTGGAATCCTGCTGCTCACGGGGCTCCTCTGGCCGACACCCCTGGGGAAGGCAGAGCTGCTGGGATGAGTCAAGGAAAGGAGGTTTGGCAGCTCAGGTCTCCACTCCCTGCCAAGCTGACTCAGGCCAGCAAGGAGGAGGAGGAGGGCGAGCGCTCTGAGTCAGCCCAGGCCAGAGCAGGGCCGAGCGAAGCAGGGACGGAGATAAAACCTCACCGGGGAATGCAGGGCCAGCTCCTGCCTGCTTGGATCATCCCAGCCCCGGTGAAGGGCAGGGAACAACCTGGGGGGACACAGGTGAACTTCAGCAGCAGCTGCAGGAGAGCTGGGCAGACGAGACAGCTCCGACGGCGGCGCAGCCTCTGCTGGGAGCGGAGCTGTCCCGAGGGAGGCAAGAACATCTCTGCCATAAGAGGCTTCGTGGCTGAGCAATAAACATGCAGAGATATAATTCTAACAGGTTTAACTCCTATCACTGGGCATTAGTTTAATTGGGCTGTGGGCCCGTGGCCCTGCTGACAGCAGGTCCTCTCGGAGCATTAGATCCTCCCACCCGGCTCCCCGAGCCCGGTGACAGCTGCTCTTTTCAGGCAAGAGGAGGGGAGAGATTAGGCTGTCTGGAATTGGATTTGCCCAGGTTAAGGTGGAAACAAAGCACAGCCATGTCTGGGGAGGGGGAGATCACCTCAGTTCACCAGCTGATATTTTCTTACCGGGGTTTCCTTCTCCCTCTGGAGCTAAACTGTGCCTGACACCGTGCCCTTCTCCAAAGGATCACAGGCGAGTGGGCACAGCGAGTCATGACTAATTCCTCGGCAGCCCAGGCAAATTGCTTTTCAGGACTACTCCCGGCCTAGATCTGACACCAGCCCCAGCACTGAGACAACAAAAAAGCCTCTCTGGCTCGCTGAGCCTCTCTCAAAGCCACCCCCTGCTCCTGACTGCAGCCCAGGCCTCATGGAGAGCCAAGCAAGTTACATCCTCACAAACGCTGCTTTTTTTTTTTATCCTTCCCCCTCACCTCCTCTTTTGTGGTCCGGTCTCTGAGTGGGAGATCCTCTCCCCACAACCACTTCCCTTCTGATGGGCTTGGGATGCAGCCCTGGAGATGCCACCACACCTTCCCACTTCCTGCAGCCCAACATCTGGAGCATCCCAGCCCTTGGCTGCTGCTGCTGCTGTTCCCCAACGCCTGCACAGATGGAGTGGCTCAGCCTGCAACTGGGAGGTAAATTTGGGGCCCTGCAGCTCAAAGCAACCCCATCCCTTGCACACCATCAAAGCAGCCCCATCCCTTGCACACCACTGCACATGGGGTGCCTGATCCTGGGGGATATCCGTGGTTTCCTGCCCTTTGTTCTCCTTTGAAGAGCTGCACTCCACACTGGGTGTGAAGTTCCAAGGTTTTGGGCTTCCTGTTTTCTGCTTTCCCTGTATCTGGTGCCTGGAGAGCAACATCACCACCACCATCATCATCATCATCATCATTATCATCATTCCAGGGCAAGTGGAAGCCTTTTAGAAATCAACTTTGTTGACATTGAATCTTGTTCCTTGTTCCTAGGGAGCTGAGGAAGGAAGGAAGGAAAAGGAAAAGGCCTGGAAAGGCTCTGGGTGCTGAATGAACCTCTGCCTGCCGGATATTCTGAGCTGTTCTATTTAATACACACACATGTATATATAAGCAAAGGCTGCCAACTGCTTCAGAACAGCACATTCCAGCAGCTCCGGGGAAGGGAAGATCTCAGAGGTGCCACCACTCATCTGCAGGGAGCCTGAGCACAGAGATGGCTGATTTTAGGGGAGAAAAACCTCTAAAAGGGGAAGGAAACAGCAAGAAAATGGAATATATTAAACTGGGATGTGAGAGTGGGTGGGCTGGAGATGCCCAGCAGAGCTGGCCAAGACACCCAGAACTGCAGAGCTGTTGGTTTTTTGCTCCAGTCCTGGAAGGAAATCAGCACTGGGAGCACTGGAAAAAGCAAAATATTGTAGGGCAAGGAATGTGGGAGCTCCTGACACGAGCTGGGAGAGCTGTGAAGGGCTGGGGCTGGGCTGCCTCACCTGAGGGATCACAGGCAGCAGCACCTTGCTGGTGGATCACCAGCCCCTGGAAAAGGGCAGCTGAAAACACAGGAAAACCACAGAGGAATTTTACCAGTCCTCGTCTTCGCTGCTTGCCTGGCTTAAATTCTGTACTGACAGTTTGGAGCCGTTACAGAAAATTGCTGCTCCACGGCAGCAGACAAGCACCAAATCCTTTAAAATAAAACATGACAATCAAGCCTTGAAGGGAGTGGTGGGATTAGCCCTCTGCCTCCAGGGAAATGTCGTGTCCCAAGGAGAAACTGCCCCACAAACACGGGTGCCCACGCATGCTGCGGAATTAGCTGGGTGTCCCGGAGAGGAAGGATCAGGGATGTCAGTCTGGGCAGGGGATTAGGGCACCAGTGCCACCAGAGGGACAAGCTCTGCCCCACTCTGCCTCTCAGGGCTCCCTTTTCAGAGCAGGTGTCCAGGTGAGTTTGCAGGGCCAGCTCCTGGGAGGTTCCACAGCTTTTCTTTTGGCATGGGACAAATGCAAAGCCAAGCTGCTTAAGAAGGGAAAATACCACAGCCAGCTGCAAGCAGCAGCACTTGGGGTAGGAGCCTCAAATCCACGGGAATACAAAATGCTTTTTTAATTTGCTTTTAAAGCAAATGCTGTGCAGCACAAATTAATTCACGCCCGAGCACTAAGCATCTCAGCTTATAAGCCTTTCTTTGGAAACAGTTATATTCAGCGATCTGAACCACTCCTCCTCCTCCATCTGCTCCGAAAGGATGAACAAACAAGCCTTTGCTGAAAGAAGGAAGGAAGGAAGGAAGGAAGCAAACCCGTTCAGCCATCTCCGAGGAAAACTGTGCCAGACCAAGAGAGCTCTTTTCCCCTACCCCGCACACACTCACACCCCTCCCAAAAAAATTGAAAAAAAAAAAAAAATTGAAAAAATTCTAATTTCAACAGCTCCCAAACCAAAATATTCTGCCTGCATGGGGCTCCCCCTCGCTCCTCGCACGAGGAGCCGAGCGCTGGTCACACGCGGCAACAGGTTCTGCTGCTCCAGCTCCCTCCCACACGCTGCAAAATGGGACGAGTCAAAGTGCTGGCTTGACTCATCAGCCACATGATCCAAGGCTGGAGCTAAAAAGGGGGAACTGGTTTACTCACTGTCTTGGGTACAATCTGTTTCTTGGGCTGCCCGATCTTGAACGGGATCCTGCAAAAGAGAGAGGAGAAGGGAATGTGTGAGCAGCGCTGGGGCTGGGGGTGGCTTTGGGGGACAGCAGGGGTGTCCCGGGCTGGCAGCCCCTCATTCTGGGCACTGTGCACCCCCAGAAAGGTGGGAGAGACTGTGGGGAGACCTCTCAGCATTGCAGAGGGGCAGCTCTGCTCTGTGACAGCGACAGAACCAGGGAACGGCACCCAGGCTGGAGCTGCACCAAGGGAGAGCCAGGTTGGATTTTAGGGAAAGATTCTTCCCCCAAAGGCTGGGATGAGCACTGGGACAGCTCTGCAGGGAATGGGCACAGCCCTGAGGCTGCCACAGCTCCAGGAGCACTTGAACAACGCTCCCAGGGTGGGATTTTGGGGCGTCTGGATGGTCCTTGTGGGTCCCTTCGATTGGGGTCAGCCCCACACACCCTCCCTGCACCCCAAAGCAAGGCAAGGATGCTCCACAAGCAGCTGAAGAACCCACTCTGTTTCAAAGCCAATCTGCTGGGGAGGATAAAATAATACTAAAAAAAAAAAAAAAATCCCAAACAAAGCCTGTAAATATTTAGAAAGAGGATATTAAAAAAAGTAACAAGCCGGTGTCTGGAGCTGCTGAGAGCTGCTTCAAAGGATTCCTCTGCTCCAACAGCTGGAGGAGAGGCTCACCTGCCAGCACAGCCTTCATTCTTAAAATCCCTAATTCCCAGGAAAATCTGGGTTACCTGAATGAGAAGAGTACTCTAAATAAATTACACAACATATGTAAGGGTGGCTGGGTCAGCTGGGAGCAACCACGCAGGCAGCCTGAAAATAATTGGATTTCTTTCACCTATCAGTATAATGAAAATCCAGGAATTCAACTGCTGTTGTCAATGGATTTAATTAAGTTAAAGAGGTGCTGCTTGGTTAAAGCATCTCAGCCAAAACCTCCCAATGTTTTCTGGGTTGTGATGCTTTAAATAAATAGAAAAAATTGAGGTCATAATGACATTAAAGTGTTTTTTTGCCAAAGATGTTTCACCTACAGCTCAACTTCATCCCATTCCATTCCAATGGAATCTTCCACTTCCAATTTCCCATCCCAAATCTGCACCAGGAGCTCCTGGGAAAGTGTCTGAGTCCCCTCCTGAGAATTTGGACTGGACCAGCCCAAACTCTCATGCTGCTACACAAAACTTGAGATAAAACCATGGATTCGGGGATTTTGTGTTGCTGCCTCCCAGTCTGGCTTTTCCCACTGCTGGTTTTCCATTTTTTTCCCACCAGCTCCACTTCCAAGCCCCCAGTACTGCTCCAAACAACAGTTTGACCTCCAGGAAATATTTTTATCAGTGTAACCTGCTGGAAAATCCAACTGTGAGAAGGAATTCGTAGTGGAAGAAGGGGCAGGACGAAGCAAAAAAACCTGATTATCCAAACTCCAACCCTTGCTCTTCCCACTTTCCCCGCTGTTTTCAAGCCAAGGCTGTAATTACCCACTGGAATAATCCAGGGCTGCACCCCCTGTGACCCTCCGTGAGCAGCTCTGGAGCCAACCTGAGTCACCAGGTTTAAATTTAAATTTTTTTTTTCAGGAGAACTTCCTGTTTATGGTTCTCCAGCAGGACCGGTGCAATTTTGGGTTTAACCCTTTCCAGCTCCTGTGGCAGTGTGAATCACCCTTCTTTTATAAACAAACATCACTCTGCTGTATAATTTCCCTGTCAATAACCGGGGGTGTGGTGCCTTACAGGAAGAAAACAAAAATATATGGATTTTTTTTTTCCTTTGTGTTTTCCTCTGTGGGTCAAATATAAACCAAAATGAGGCACCTCTCTGTCACTTGATGTTTTTGGAAGTGATGGCATCAACTTGGTGGTGAAAGGATAAAAAAAAAATGAGGATTTTACTCAGGGGAGCGTTATCCCACTTAAAACCAGTTTGCAGGGTGGGAACAAGCAAGGAGCTGGAGCCTGGTTGGTTCCTAATGGGAAAGGACAATTAAAAAGGTGATTAAAGAATTACCTGTGCACAACCTGCCCCTGTGGGGGGCACAGAGAGCATCCCAAAGTGGTGTTGTCACTGGAAAAATGGTTCAATCCAGGGAATTTGGGATAGGAAAAGCCACTGGTTGGGGATCAGAGCAGGGAAGGGAAGGCAGAGGGAGCACAGGGGGTGCTGCTCCATCCCATTCCCCATCCTTACCCCACCAAGGAACCCCAAAAATCCCTTTTCTTCTCCCAGAAACAAAGGGAAGTCAATGGAGTGCTGCAAATCTCCAGTGCAGCAGTAAATATCTCCATCAGCATCGTGATGCCACTTGGTAATTATGTCTGTCTCAGTAAAACCTCTAAAAAAATAACCCTGTGCAAGTCAGGTCTGTTCCTCGATTATTGGAGGTTTTTGTTCTATTTTACAATTTTACATAATTTTCCTGGTTTTTAAATCACTGCCTTTTAATATGATTCTCTGGGAGGGTGGGGGGGAAAAGATGGATGAGCAGGAAAGAAGGAAGAAAAAAAAATAAAAATGAAAGGTATGGATTTTATTGGAGCTTTTAAACCAAATGGATTCACCCCACGCCTCAAAAGCGCTGCTGGCACCGAAGTTTTGTCCCTCTGGGAGTTGTGTCCCTGCCTGCAAAATTGTGGGGGGACAAAGCGCAGCTGAGACAGCACCATCACAACCATTTGCTTCAAAATCAAGAGGTTAAAAAATGCATGATGGGGATAATATAAATAAACTGAGGGGAAGGTGGATCCATATGGATCCATATCCATCAGTGCCATGAATTCCACGGATCTCCCTGGTACCTTCAAAGCTCTATAAACACCAAAGAAAAACCAGAATCGGTGCTGCTTTTTTTTTTTTTTTTTCCCTCTTTGCTGATGTCTCGTTTCTGCTGAGCGAGAGAAAGCTGGGGTTGTGTTTGGGGTGTGAAATCCCTTGAAATCCCGTTCCTGAAGAGCCGAGCGCGCTGAGTCACCGGCGG